GTTTCATTACATGAGCCCAAAAGTCCAAAATAGTAAAAAATAAAATAAAAGCACAAAATATTATTAGTAAAATAATGTAATACTCATCCAATTGTTCTACGGAAAAAATGACCCATATATTTATATATTTTTATATATTGCATTATTAGATAATTAATAGAGATGTAAGCTGTATTGTAATACTGGTTGAGGTGGAGTGGGTTGTGGCATAATTAATGGGAAAAGAAAGCAGTTTTGCTACTCAAATCTGTATTTGCAATGAGCCCCAAATACGGTGCTTTTAACATTTCACCATGTTTTCTATTTACAATCTCAATATAAAAAGGAACTACAGCTGTCATACAAATACAGCGGAGTAAAAACTACAAGTAAGTAACATAAAATGTATAGAAATAAAAATACAATGTTATCCACCACTGCTCATGTGTCTGTGGGACTCACATATTGATCTTATTATACTTAACTGCTGTATTTATTTCTCAAGAGATTTTCTCTAGAGATCTGTGTGAGTCACTGGTGAGTTTATAATCTTAAGGCACTTTCTATTACATTCGGTTCTCCCATTATAACATAATAATATTTTACTTTAATATCTGGAACTAGTTTATTGTACCTAATAGAATAATTTTTCACCTGGTGTTAACAAAATAATGGGTTTGAATAATTTTCTTGTATTTATTTAGCCTCTTCCTACATAGTTATTACCTTTTTTTTACTTATTCTATATAAACTATTATCTTCCTGTCTTTTACAATGCTTCTCCCTTTAAGGCCACACTCAGCTGCTGAAAGAGCGCATCGTTTGTATTGTTGCATCTCTGGTCTCCTCCTTCCCTCCTCCTCCTTTCCCCTCCCTTCACTCATCCATCCATCCGTCCACCCCCTCTGCTCTCCACACACGCACACCGATTTGCGCATCGCCTCCTCCGGCACAATGACCAACGATTCCCCGGAGGAGGAGACCCGAGTTCCAGGCGGCGGCGGCGGCGGCGGAGGAGGAGGAGGTGGGAAAGGAATCGCACGAAGAAACCGGGCGGACGACAATGTCACCATCCTGACATCCTCCATGGATTTACACAGAGCCAGCCGGAGCCGCGCCAGCAGCAGCAACGATGCCGCCCCGAGCCTCACATCCTCTGTGGATCTCAGCACCTCCTCCCTGGAGCTGAGCATCCAGACGCGGATCTTTAAGATCATCGTCATCGGGGACTCCAACGTGGGGAAGACCTGCCTCACCTTCCGCTTCACCGGGGGGAGCTTCCCCGAAAAGACAGAGGCCACCATCGGCGTGGATTTCAGGGAGAAGGCGGTGGAGATTGAAGGAGAGACTATCAAGGTAAAAGCAACAGAGGGGTTGGATGTTGATTAGTGGTGTTTCCTCACTCCCTCCCCCCCCACCTTCCTCCCTCCTCCTCCTCCTCTTCTCTTTTTGTTGATCAGCTGCAAACTCAGCCAGTGGATCACACAGGGCCTATTCTTTCATTTTATCTCAGCAAAACGACCCTCAACACTTTTCTTTAGGGATATTTTTCTATTCAGATTGTATTTTTTTCACGTTGGAGAAATGTAACGCCTTCTGACAACAAAGGCTGTGGGTGTCCATGGAAGAAAACATGACAATGAATGGGATATGTATGGCCAGAGAGGTGTTTGGGGGACATATTTCTGTGGAGTTGACAATAGATGTTTTAAGTGTTTCGTGTTTCCAAAAAATAATGAAATCTCTGCTGGCAACGCATTCAGCCTGAATTTAATCATTTGTTATTTAGAAAACGATTGAATCCAAATTACAAGGCTGCTGCTTTAAATTCAGGTGCCTCTGAAAACAGAAACAAAATATCTATAATGCAGGTAGAGCTGAAGAGATTAGATTTGTCGCTCAATAGAAAATTAAACAGTTATTACTAATCATAGTAATTCTTTCTAGCAAAGGATTGAACACTACCTTGTTTTAGTTTTATAGATTTGTTGCTTTTCTTTGTGTTATATGATGGTAAACTGAATATCTTGGACAACAATGGACAACAATAGCAATTTAAAGACATTTTTCACACTTTTATGGCATTTGTTGAACAATAAATAATCAACCATTCCAGAGGATAATTGGCAGATTAATTAAGAATAAAAATCATTGATCACTACAGTCCTAATACCAGGTAGGTTTTAGAGCTCTAGCATTCCTGATCCAATCTTTTCTAGAATAAAAATGCAAATGTGTAGCTGTATAAGAGGCAGGGTTAAAAACTACATTAAATTGTCCGAAAGTTGATGACAATTTCAACAGTTTTGAACCCATAAATAAAATCAACAACCCATTGTTGTGTATTGCATATCGTATCAGTCACAACAGATTCTACACCAATAAAACCACCAGCAGCAACAAATGTAGTTGTGTAATGGTGTCATGGTAATTGCTGAATTAAAATTTAATGATTTCCAACATCCTCAGCAGCAATGCATATTGGCATAGCAAAATCAATTTAAGTGCAACGGTATAGTAACAGGCTAAGTATCATATCAAATAGTATTGTTCAAGATTTTAGTTGATATGTTTACTCACATCTCATTACTCATTCGTTTGGATAGTCTAGGACTAAATATTAGGCTTGTTATTGAGATTTCTTTTAAAGTACGTATCTTTACCTTTCTCACTGGGCCAGTAAGTGTGTGTGTGCAGCCTCACACATACACATGCATGAGTAGACTCCCTTTCCCCCTTTCTCAGTTGAACAGTCTGTCTGCAACCTCCAGATGCCCCCTAATGCTGACTCACTGAACACCTATTAGGTCAGCGTGTCTGAATCATTGAAATTTTCTTCAAAACACATGCGATACACATACAGTATGATCAGCAGTGTCAGAAAGTGAAAATGTGACTTTTTCCTATGTAAATTTGAACAAATCCTGCACTGTATACTCTCTATTGTTCTTTTCTGCTTTGTTGCTGCCTTCAAAGCTGGTGAGGTAACACTGGTGAATGCTAGTAGAGTAATAAATGCTATAAGTAATGATTTTATTATCTAGATTAAGCCTGTTTTCAGTGATTAACTCGTGTGCTGTAAGTGCAGCCATTGTTTTCTCCTTGTTCCTCTTGAAGTTAACCTTTAATGAGGGATTGACAGCTCATCAATACACAGTTTCCTACTAGCTGCTTTTTGTGCTCCCCCACAAAAAAAGGTTAAACCAGATGTGTGGAAATATTATGGATTCAAAACTAAAGAAGGACAGGGAGATGAGGTGCCTATCTGTGATACAATAAAATAACCAATAACAAAATGTAAGGTAAAGTGAAAGAAAGTTTTAGTCACATTTTAAGGGTTTAGAGTATATTCTGGTAATTATCAGGATTATATCATGAATTGGAATTATTTTTATATATATTGTCCATAATTAATTTTTTCTATCATTGGAAATGGTTATTTTTTTGACATGCTAATGTACCAAGAAAGGTCATTTTGATTGGTCTGCCTGTGCTTTTGGTCCAGAGCAAGATATCTTGATGACCACTAGTCAAATATGGGCTTCAAACGATGCCTTGATGATGTTTTGGTGATAACCTTTAATTTCCACTTGCACAGAAGAATGACCAGCATCATAATGATGAAAACTTGCTGTAGGATGTAATAAACACTGCAACCGCAAGGGCTTCTAACAGCAAGCTAGACTTAACAGTAAAGCAGGAATACTGTATGTATTCAGAGATATGGCACTTTTGAGAATTTATTTTATTTTATTTTGTGTCATATAATTTGACAAGTCATCACTGATGGTTTTATTGTGCGAACTGGAGGTTTACAAGCAGGCAGGTGTTTTAGATCCAGAAGGCTCCAGGATCATTTAGCTGAGACAGGAAGTGAAAAATGTGTGTATTTATGTGTCATCCAGAGGGTGATATCATTCCCTCTACAGTGGCCTCTTTGATTGTTGGAGTAAAAAACTAAGCTGCTTCACTGGTGCAGTGGCGCTCTAAAGAGCTTATAAAACAATTTCATGGCAGCACAGGTCATAATTCCACTCACAGTGTACGTATAACAGGATGAACTCATATACATTTTATCTGAGTCTACTTGTATATACATCTAGCTGGGTGACTCCTTTCCTCTCCAGTACTCAGGCAGGTGAATAAAAGCAGCACAGAGATGGGCAACAACAAATGTTATAAGCTGCAGAGGACTAAAAATAGAGTAGAGCACTAAGTATAGATGTACAGAGTAGGTGTCAGAATAATAGTAAGGATTCTCAAGTTTGCGTGACATATAGCCAAGATATCTCACTGAATGGACGATGTATAACGTTTGATAGATGTTGACAGGCAGAATTCTGCCCAGATTTCACAATGATTTTGTATAAATTTGACATCTTTTTTCTTCCTCTGCCACTTACTTTATTTCTAAACATTTTGGCTGATTTTGAAAAACACAATGTCAAGTTATTACAAAGCCAAAAATGTATAAATAGATTTTAAATAATCTCTAACAACATGAGACTGATGAGAGGTGTATTGTCATTTTTGTGCACTATAAATTTGCTCAGTTTGCTTTTAAATCACACACAAATTACAGTAGTGTTCTACAAAGATCAAGCTTTGATGTTTTGAGCAGCATTAAATGCAGCATTCAACCTCTGATGCTAAATAGCTGGCCCTGTCCTTTCAAATGGTAATAGCAGATAATTCACTGGTCCTTTGTCCCTACAGGCCGTAGAGAGCTTGTTGAGAGTTGTCCACGTTGATATACAAAGTGCTGCTGATTACACATTCAGCAAGCCGACAATTTGAGCACAATATACAGTACGGTATAATGTGACCTAGCATGAGCCATAAATAATCTTTACTCTGTCTGCATTCAGACATGACTGAATTTTATTTTTAGGTGAAATCAATATCCGTACTTCTCTTGCACTGAGGCGGTAAATAAAGCTCACTTCCTCTCCGTCCCTGTGGTTAAATCTAAACCATCAAATGCTGCAATTAAGGAATGACACGGGTATAGAGAAGCTCCACATGCTGCACAGGTGCACAGGCTAAATCTGACCCTATATTCCAAACAGCTGCATTGTTTTGTCAAGTAGAATACAGTGCTGGAAGCAAACGGCAGTTTATTTAGCTAGAGCTAATTAGCCTTTGAGTTGTGGTGTGGTTTGACAGAACTCACACATTCCTCAAAATATGAAATAAGCTGAGAACACGCAGTGAAAACATGCAGTTAGTTATTGGACCCTGATAGCTATGGCAGTGAAGAACACTCCAAACATTTGATGAACTTGGCTACCCAGACTGCAATGCGTCCAAATGTTGTGTTTTGATTTTATGAATCCAATGTGGTGCTTTATTTTGGTTTTAAACTTGTAATTGGGCATATGTCACTACATTTATATTAGATTACATCAAATACTGTACACAGCACAGCGTAGACCTGCCTGAGGCATTTATTAATGATCAAGCAGAAAAGCCCATCATGCTATAGAGCAGTGCTCTCTTGAGACCCTGTAACCAGGAATATCTTAGCACTCTTTCCTGTTGACATGGTACAGCTCCATGTACTGGTTCTTGTAAGCCCTTATAGGCTTAGACAACTCATTGTAGCCAGATTTATATCTGTAGTTGTCTACTGATTCACTGAGATTAATAAAACATTTTAACATAATGAGCTTGGATGTCTGGATTCTGTTGCTCTGGATGCTGTTATTTCCCTGACATCCAAAACACTGTTTATTCAGCGTTGTGTCTGTATCTGAGGAGGTCTTTTTTTTCAGGCTAAAATCACGTAGCGTAAACGGTGCTTAAATACTGCCTGGAAACTCTCTACAGATATTCAGTGTTCCTCAGGCATATCAGAACACAGATGTATCTTGTCCATCTCCACAGGTGCAGGTATGGGACACAGCAGGCCAGGAGCGCTTTCGTAAATCTATGGTGGAACACTACTACCGCAATGTCCATGCAGTGGTCTTTGTGTATGACGTCACTAAGATGACTTCCTTCCGCAACCTACAGACATGGATAGAGGTTTGTAACAATACATTTTGAAACAACTAAATAATGTATGCCAGTGTAGAAAGAGTGCAGGGAGCACACTTCCTTAGTTGTCTTTTGGCACCATGAACATTATCAGCCTCTCTGCAGTTCCAAGTGTTCCCACTGGTTATTCCCAAAGACTATTTATTATCCGTTGGTTGACACAGTGATGTTTCCCATCACAAAGCATGGTTTGCATTTCTGAATGCTAATGCTGCGACAATTCCAACCACGGCTGTTAGCAAGCCACCAAAGCCCATCGGATCACTTAGAAAATTAATTATACAAAATGGTCTGTGGAGTTGTATCTGTAGGAAAAATATTTCCAATCCAATGTGTGCAGGGTGGGGAAAGTAAAGAAGCAGCGCTTGCCACTCCCTCATTACCGCCAATGAGATGCCCTTGAGCAAAGCCCTTAACCCCAACGGCTCCAGTAGAGCTGTTCAGTGGCCAGTAGATCACACTGTGTTTGTACTGGGCAGCTTCCATTATTTCTACCAATACCTCCACTGACATTGTGGCTACTATACCATAGAACAGAAGTTGCTTCAGCAGTAGTAATACTAAATAATAAAATAATAGTAATAAATGACTTGCAAGTAGTTGAATTAGGTGGCAATAGTAATAGTAGTGGTATCAAAGTTAGTAGTAGTTGTGATAGCAGTAGTAGTTGCACTGAAAATAATAGCAGCTGCAACAGTAATAGAGCTTTTTCATGGCAGATGTTTTTACATCTTATAGCAAGAGTGAGCAAAGTGTAATTAGTAGTATAAATTACCAGCTGGATTCCAGTTAGTTTGGCCAATAACAGGCTCTTCTGTACTGTGCATGTGGCTTACTGTGGCTTCCTGGGAGACTTAAACCTGTGCTTTCCTATAAGTAAAAATGATTTATGTAAAACAGTATATACATAGACGTTTTATTAGTTGCAGAGGTAGAAGAAGTAGCTTAGTTATTGTAGAAGTAAACCTATGTGTGACTAATGCTGAATGTATGCCACATGAGTAAAATGGAAAGAATGAGATTGTTATGACTTAAAGACCTTTGTGCTCTATTTCAAGATGATTGCAGCAATGCTAGAATAAAAGGTTTTTTATTGATCATGCCTCATATTTAACAGTTCATGTAGATATAGACATACTGTGCAGGTTTTATAGCTCCTTTTCAATTGGCTGAATCGATTCTACGAGGATTTTATTGGCATTGAGCTGTTGGGAATAGTGGCTCGGCAGCCATTTTGGCACCGACAGTTCTTTTCGCCAAGTAAGACATATTGTTGCTGTCATAAATTCCCTGTAATTACAACTAAGAGGCGGGTGGGAAGGTTTTTTTCCACCCAGCCATTCATATTTATGTTTACATATCATGCTCACATAGTTTATAAAGTTTATAAAGATATATTCTGTTGTGTTTCAGGAGTGTAATGGCCATCGGGTGTCAGCATCAGTACCTCGAGTCCTGGTGGGAAACAAGTGTGACCTCGTAAACCAAATACAGGTGAGTATACTCAAATACCCCAACAATACAATACTTTATTTACTCTTTTAAATTACATTAGGCTTTACAACCAAACATTTGTGCCTTCCCAGGTTCCCTCCAACATGGCGTTGAAGTTCGCTGACGCCCACAACATGCTGCTGTTTGAGACGTCGGCCAAGGACCCGAGGGAGAGTCAGAACGTCGACTCCATCTTCATGTCGCTGGCCTGCCGCCTGAAGGCCCAGAAATCCCTGCTCTACAGAGACGTGGAGAGAGAGGACGGAAGAGTCCGACTCACACAAGAGACTGAAACAAAGAGTAATTGTCCTTGTTGAGGAAAAGGAGGAGTGGGAGGCGTAATGGAGGGGAAGAGAGAAGAGTAACTGTACATGTCAAGGAAGAGGAGGAGAGGGATGATGGGAGAGTGAGGCTAATACAAGAGTCTTTTAAATTAAGTGCAACTTTTCTGGTTTAGGACAAGGATTGGGGGTTGAAGTTGTCACTAAGAACATGTGTTTCACGGAAGAGGAGGATAGGGTGGAAACAGTGACACTGGAGCAAGAAACATCATCAATATTCTTGTTTGTGAGGATGAGGATAGGAAGGAAAGAGGGTGGCGAAGACAGAGGGAAAAGAGATAAAAAAGGATTGGGGGTTGACGCATTTATTAACAATTCAGAAATGAGACAATGTTGCCTTTTAGACTACAGTAGAAATTCTTCCATGTATTCAAACATAGACAGAAACTGAGTGCTTTCAATGTGCCCAGTGCACAGGCAAACACAACACGATTAACATATGAGTCATTTGAGGATCTGTGTTTATCACAGCCTTTATTAACAGCAACATTCTGAGGCAACACATTAGAACTGTCCTATTTTTGCTGCCTTGTCCTTACTGATTTCCATCCACATCCTAGCTTGAAAGCAGCATCTCTCGACCTTTATCTACTGCCTTAAAAAGCTGCCTCTGTCTTGGTTCAAAGAAATCAATCAAGATGATTTTGGTTCATACAACCAACCAAACACTCTGGCAGCCTCTTAAAAGGAAATATAAACTATTTTAGAGGGAGGACTCTTTTTGTGTCAGTTTTAATGTACCTGATGCCTATCTAGGTCAATCGTTCACAAGTAGGACACTTAAAAATCACTGTGAGATCACAAATACATTGGAAAGATGAGAAAACACATCTTAGAGAACGTTAATGTGGAGAAATTAGGGGCAAAAGGGGCAGGTGAGCTCAAGGGACCTGTGCAGGAAGACCTTGACAACAAGGTTTCCTGCAAATGGACCATCTAGAGGTTGTCAGGCAGAATGTCGCGTATTGATTTAGAGGCTGTAAGATCCTCTTACCCTCATGTAGGAGAATGCAGTCTCCTACAAAGAAGAGCCGTCATGGGAAGGTTCCTTTTTCTCATCTAAACCCGATGTAAACATATCCCCTCCACGCTTAACTTCTAGCACAGTGGCTTATCCAGTTTTCCCTTTGTGTGCAAATGCAAAAAACATCTAGTCGTTGCCGTACGTGACTTTCAAGATAGCCAATCCGCCACCGCAATTCCATATTCTGTATATTTTTGAAAGTAAAGGCCTTCTGTCTGTCTTAGACGATGTGATCTCCACATCAATATCACTGCCTCCAGTCTCAGAGAGGGCAGGAATGATGATAGAAAACTGTGACCCCTGTATGCATAATGGATATATTTATATTGCTACACAGCCTGAGCCTGGATGTACACTATGAGCGGACTTAAGCCTGGTGTGTGTATAAAGGAAGTCCAGGAGTATCTAAGCCATGGATGATACAGGCTGCATGAATCCCTGTAGAAAGCCATATTTATTATTTATTGTCCACAGAGATGCAGTATGCTTTACATTGAGATAGCTCCCAGATGATGTGTTGTGGTTGTAGAATAACACACTGTACATAACTCAGTGTTGGAGCTATGACGCCTTTGTAATAAGGCATCAATCCACAAGCGTCACTGCGATGCCGTCAATTAGATATAGCAGCATCCTCGCCATGTCCTTCCCTAATTTAACACTAGCCTACTTCTGAGCAATGCTATAAATACATTTGGATGCCATATGTGAAAAAATTTAGATCAGTGAGCATTTCAGATGGGTGTTCCCTCCAAGCTGACAGTCTGATGACCTAATTAATTCATCCCATCGAGCAATTTTAACACATCCATGGAGCTATTGTCTGAGCTGTATCAGGTTTTGTTGATTTTTTTAGTCAGAATTTCTCCTCCTCTGTTCTTCTTCTGACAGTGGCAGTGGGATCAAGCAGCCGGTACAGGCGAATGAAATCTGTGACACAAAAAACTGGGATAACCATTCATCCATTTTCTGAACTGCTTATTATTGCCAGGGCTGTAATACATGAGTGGTTGGGTACACCCTACAACTTTTTATCCGTTAACAAATAACTGTGGCTCTGTTTAACATTAGGTTAGCATAATCTGGCTAATTTAGTCGTGATACATGGGAGACAGCTAGCCTAATAGGAAGCAAAACATGGTGTTGGAAAAAGAAGAATGTGCCTGCATTTTCTTTTTATAATCTTAACCAGATCTGAATAAAATAACATTTGACTTCATCACTCATTAGGCTATAGTTATTATTATGAATTTCACATATCGCAATAAGGTGTCTATCAACTTTCTATTTCAAATATTTGAAATCATAACCAATTTGTTTTTTATCCAGGTCTAAAGGTTAAGAATACAAATGTGCTTGCCTTCCCTTTTTTCCCTGTACATACACTGTGTTTTATTTGTTATAATATCTGGCTTTCTTTCTTTCTTTTTTTAACCCATGTTTTTTCTTAAAGGGATGCCTTGAAATTTTGAAATTTAGTCTGGATTTCTTCTGCAAAAAGTCACAATGTTAAAAACCAGGTTACTGTATGTGGAATGAATTTGCTTATTAATTGCTTGTGAGATTGGGGCAGAATCTCTTGATGAGTTATAAAGGGTTGATAGGAAATGTATCTGCAATTATTTTGATAATTGATTTATTGTTCCTGTGATTTTTCACAACCTTCCTCTGATTTCAGCTTCACAAATGTCAATATTTGCTGGTTTTCTTTGTTCCATATGAATATCTTTGGGTTGTAGACTGTTGGTCGGACAAAACGCAAATTTGTTATCGTCATTTTTAACTATTTTTCACATTTTATACACAAAAGTAATTGGCAGAATAATTGATAATGAAAATTATTGTTAGTTGCAGCCCTACAGGTACAACATTACCTTCAGGTAATTCATATAATAGTGTCAGTGCAGGCTACCTTGTAGCTAGCTATTTTTAGCCTTCAATTAACTGTCAGATAGCCTGCAGCTATCCTAATAAACCTATACACCTAATAAAGTTTATGATAATGTGATAGTTACTAATGTATGTAGGGGAAATTCATTTCCCCCTACAGGGGAAGCTCTGGGGCGTCACAGTGAGCTCAACAGTGCAACAACAGAGAAAAGTGTATTATTGGTATGAATCTGTAAATTAATGAATCCCTACATAAAAATAGACACAAAAGATAAGAAAGTTGAAACTCTCGTTTTCAAATATTTGGGGTTTATTGACTTTCAGTTTCAATAGATCTCCTGTAGCAACCTGTGTGACTGACACAGGTCAGGGGTCACGTCCCAACTGTTGGCTAAACTCCATTTTTCAGGGTCAAAGTGAATCTATTTAAAATGGAAATAATATGGACTTATTTTGGTTTATGCTCCTCTGAGCTTAATGTGACACCGCAGATGTTGAAGGTCAGCCTGCTACAGAACAGCAGCTCTTATTCAACTCTTATTCCACATGATGAATGGACAGGGATGCGTTCTACCTAGTCAATACTACAAAAAAAAAATCTGATTAAAGGTCAATATACAAAGTTACTCCTTTAACAAAAGCCTTAAGAATGGTGTCACTTGATGTTTTCATCATTTTATTAGAATTGTTAAATCTGAGATGACAATGTTTTTAGGCTGTGAGTTTGTTATTGTTTTGGACTGTATCAGATTGTCTTCTACTGTATGTTTCATATGTAACATTGTGGTTGTTACAATCTCACAAAGGGACTTCTGATAAAACTTCTGAAGACGCTTCACCCGACTCAGATCCTCATTATTTGGAGACTAGTTCAGTCATCTGAACGCTTAAACTTTAGTCAGATTTTGACATTACGCACCCCCTCAGTATTAACATGATGTTTTCAGTCTGTTTTGGCCGTGTACTCACTGGTGTCCTGACCGAAGTATTTACTGTTAGAGTTTCCCTCCCACACACAGGAACTTAAGATTTCATGTCTGTTTTTCCATTCTGCTTCTCTCTGCCCTGTATTTTATTTCACCCTTCATGTTTCACCTTCTTTCTACCGCCCTTTCATTCTATTTCCATCCTAATCTTTCCATAATGTATCCCTTTAATTCCTTCTATGCCCATCTCATATCTCATTGTCAGTGCTTCTGTGTTTCAGTGACCCCTAATATTTTCAATTTCTTTCTCCTTCTGCTTCCATATCTCCCCGTCCGTCTGTCTCCGAACATGTGGCTTGAGGCTGTTGCTTGTCTTTGGCTAGAAAATTGAATTCTCAAGCAGATCTTGTGTCCATTAATGGATGTAGCAGATGAGTGCCGCTGAATATTGAGAGTGCAAGAGGATCAGAGAGGTAAAACAATAGACGTGCCTCTCAATGAATAGCGTCTTATTGGTACTGACTCTCCGGGTCCAGTCGTCAAAGAACATCAAAATGTTTAAGTGATTAAGTCTGAACAGTAATATCTGTCAACAGATGTGTTTAAGCATCACAATATGTCCTTAAGGCATTTGCCATGACATCTTCATCATCTTCATGACACATTCAAATTTTAGGTTTTGAGGAATGTTATAAATTCATATTGAGATATTCCAGAGAGGCTGGACTTTTTCTTGGAGTCAGTGATGTGGTTTGGCAAGAGACCGACAGTGGATTGGAAACACAGCAAAAGCAATTTTAATACCAAAAATGTATTAAAAATCTGAGTAGGGACGTCAAAATATCCCAATATAAATACACTAAATCAAAAGTTGTCATATCCTGAGCCAGAAATCCTTCACAAAAGAAGAGCTGCAGTGACCCTCGTTGACAAAGCAAACACAGGTTAAGTAAAGTATCTGAACCTGAAGCAGGTGTGAGAAATAACACAGACAACTAATTATTATATGTTCAGAAAATCGTCGCTGTCCTGGGTTCTGAAACCCCTGCGGGACCCCCATCATTTGTCTTCAATCATCAAAAAAAGCCAATTATCAGTAAAAAAAA